GACCATGAAATGTGCTTTCCACTGACGTGCGAAAAGTAAGTGTCTGATAACCTTTTGACCCTCAATATGTTATGGTGGCCCCTCCATCTGCGATAGTGGGCGTGTCCTAACAATGATGTGTACGCAACTGCGTGTCTGCATATCTGCGCCTAACAAATGTGGTACTACGTACGACTGAAATTTTACGTTTATAATCGTAGCAACAGACCTCAGATGAGCCCAGACGCTCTGCGGCTCTTGTTTTTGTAAGGGTCATTACCATTGTTGTTCACACTCGAACAATGACTCATTGCTGCTGCGTTGTTGTTCGCAGGAGGTGTTCTGCTGCTTGATGTCGAGCTTCGACTCGGCGCAGCGCGCGATCATCGAGCGCAGCGGCTTCCTGACGACGCTCTGCATCGCGTTCGTCTGTCCGCTACGCGACTCAGACAAGTATGCTGTCTGCGTGACGAACGTCGGCGACAGCTACGCGTACGTCTACAACCGCAAGCGCGGCGTCATCGAGGTCACCGAAGGTGAGCGAAGGTCGCAGAGGGTGCCGGGGGTGGGTGGTGGGAGCAGGGAGTGTGGCGTGGCGTGGGAGAAGAAGGGGGATGAGTCCACTGAGGGTGCGTGTGTGGGGGGGAGATACGATTATTATTATTATATGGTAATAATCATAATTATAATTATAATTATAATGATTATAATAATAGTTATGATACTGATAATATATGTTATAAGAATAATTATAATACTGATAATGATACTTATACTGATTATGATTATAATTATATGGTATTATTAGCTCTTGATATGATATAGGGAGGGTGCCATGTCTACTGAGGAGCCTGGTCTACCGAGGGTGTGTGTGGGTGTGTCTGGTGGAGGTGATGGTGTTATACGAGAGATGGGAGGGTTCCATGTCAACCGAGGGCGTACGGGGGTTGGGGTGTAAAGAAGAGTGTTAAAAGGGAGAGGAAGGGGACGGGCTGTCGTGGTTGAATATATACCTCACACCGCAACTAGATGATGTATTATTGTTAATGATGATGTATTATTACAGATGCGTATTTGTTGTGTGTAAATACCTCACAACGCAGCTACTAGACTCTCTCTCGCGACTCGTCACACTTTTACGACTCGCCTCGCTGCCTTACGCCATACGTACTAGTCCTCGCTCACGAACTGCTTTTACGACTCGCTGCCTTCGCTTTCCTTTTCCTGAGTCACCGTACGTAGCAATCTCGATCGCGACGCTCACGAACCTCACGCTTGACCCTCCGCAGGTTCGCACGACCTCAGCAGCGACCGCGACCTGCGCAACCCCGGTGGCGCCCTCGGTCCCGTCGACGGCCTCAACCCGGACCTCACCAACATGACATGCTCGATGACGCTGTGCCGCGCCGGCGATCTCGTCTTCCTCGCCAGCGACGGCATCACCGACAACTTCGACCCCGTCGTCGACCACATCGCCGTCGCGCGCAGCGACGAGGCGAACAGCACGGCCGGCCGCGGCAAGACGTTCGCCGGCCGCATGGGGGCGCTGCCGAAGATGGACGCGCTCGAGCGGCACGTCGAGTCGCTGCGCGCGATGGAGGGCGTCGTGCGCGAGTTTGAGGCAATGCGCGAGTGCCCGTGCTCGGCGCAGGAGCTGTGCGCCGACCTCACGCAGCACGTGCTCAAGCTGACGGACGCGCGGCGCAAGGTGCTCGAGAACCCGGGCACGTACAGCGGCGAGGCGGAGCTGTCGCGACGCGAGCGCCGCCGCCGCGACCGCCGGCTGCGCGAGGCGATGCTCGCGATGCCGGGAAAGCTTGACCACGCGTCGATCGTCGCCTTCGAGGTGGCGCGGCGGCGCAGCCCGCTGACGGCGCGCGCCGGGGTCGAAGCGACCATCAAGCGCGCGCAGAGCATGCCGGACGGCGAGATCCGCATCGAGAGGAGTCCCTCGCAGAAGGCGAGCTTCTCCTGGACACAGAACGACGCCTATGCGACGCCTTCCCCGCCCGAGCTCTCGCCCGATGCGTGCTCCACTACAGAGGTAGCCTCCCCTGATGCGCGCTCTCCTGAACAGGTAGCCTCCCCCGATGCGCGCTCTCCTGAACAGGTAGCCTCCCCTGATGCGACGGTAGGTCCCGGGCGAGGCGACCGCCAGGTCACGGGCGACCGGTAGGCCAAGGACAAGGCGACCGGCAGGTCATGGGCGACCGGTAGGTCACGGACAAGGCGACCGGTAGATCACAGGCGAGATGACCGGTAGATCACAGGCGAGATGACTGGTAGATCACGGGCAAGATGAGCGGTATGTCACGGGGTCAAATTCCTTGGGTCGAAGGGCACAGTTCGGTCAGGCACGGTTGGTATTTTCGGATTTCTCCCCGGGGGTATAGCGACAGTCATAATTATAAGGGTCGTATATGGCTGATGAATGAATCTGTAGCCAATGCGATTGGTTATATAGTTAATGGTCTAATAATCAGTTAGTAGAATGAGCGCGTGTGTTGTTCCTTTGCAGGAGAGCCCGTCGCCGACGTGTTTGGCATCTGCGCTCGTGAGAACAACTGCATCCTCGCGCTGGCCGACGGCGTTAACTGGGGCGAGCGCGCGGCGTGCGCGGCCCGCGCCGCCGTCTACGGAGCCATGGACTACCTCAACAAGGAGCTGTTCGTCGAGGGCCGCAACCCGGAGAACACGCAGGTGTGTGTGAGCAAAGTGCGGTCGGGCTAGCGTCGTCGACCCGTGCGGCGGGTGGTGTCTGTGCGGGTCCCAGGTAGTAGTTCTATGTGGCGCGCTGCACCGATTGTGGTGCAGCCGCCGCGTGGCGTTCATTGTCGCTTGATGGGCCCATGGTGGACATCCGGTTCTAGCACCGTGGAAGTATTCGTGACCTTCCACCCATCCAGGTGCAATGCTTTTTAATCTAGTCGACAATAAATGCTTTTTTATTTTTAACAATGGAATTAAGTCCGTGAATGCGGCGCTGTTTTAAAGCACAACTGTTGCAGGGCCTAGAGCAGGGTTAGGCCTTCTGCCATAGGTTGCCTCTTGCGCACCAGTCTAGCTAATGCTGTACGTTTGTAGCATACAGTGGCAGTACTGTACAGTGTACACACATTGTATGGTCTACTGCGTGTATGATTGCAGGCCTGTGTCGTACAGTGTTGCGTGAATGTCTATGATCGTGTGTTAACTGTAAACACACGTCTTGTTCATGTATAATGCATGCGCCTGGGCTAACTGATGTTTATCACTTCCCGTAGCGGTCCTGCGCATTTATTATTAGCCTGCGGCTAACAATAGCCTCAGTCGCGATGAGAAAGATATATGCATGTTGTTAGTGTGTTCACACTTGTCCCGCCCCATTACAATAATTCATTACCATATGTTGTTCACACTTGTTCCACCGCCTCTATGATATATATATATATATGTATATTTGGTCTGTTGGTCTATAGCTGCATGTACCCGCGTCTATAGGAATCCCTATAGGTCTATAAGCCAATACTCAGGGCCGTAGTGGCCGCCACGGCAGCACGGCACTGCCGTGGCACTATTTTGGGAAAAAAATTCTGCAGGGAACCAAGGAGCAACATATACCAAGGAGATGAAACCCCGGGGGGTGGGGGCACTCACCCCACATTATGGTAGGTATGTGCCACTGCGAAGTCAAAAATGGGGGGGCTCTGGAACTAACTCAGACCTGAAAATGGGGGTCTCTGGAACTAATGTTTGTTGAATGTGGTATGCTCTGGAACTGGCTATGTTCGAAAATGGGGTCTCCGGAACTAGGATTTCGTTGAAATTTAATGCTATGACACTGGACACGTTTAAAAGAGAGGGTCTCCGGAACTGTGGGGGGAACAGTGATTTGCTTTAAAATCTATGCTGTAGCACTTGAACCAATAATTGTTGTATTATGTAGAGGAGAAAAACATGACCGGCGGAAGAAGGAGATGAACGCACGCGCACGCCCACGCACGGCAGCGACACTCGACGACACATACAAGCACACACACGTTGCATGCATGCCTTGACGGCCGGACCCAACAGTACTTCTGAAAGTAGGATGGCCACTGGAAGCGGAAAATATTCAACAAAGAGCGTAGAGAGTCGTCTGGGCTCATCTGAAGGCTCTGTTGGCTGACGACTTATAACACGAACATTTGCTCGGCCGTAAGTACCAATTATGTTCGGCGCCAGATATGCAGACACGCAGTTGCGTACACAATCAATATGCATTAGGACAGCCGCCCACAACGGGCAGATGGAGGGTGAGGGGGAGGGTGGGGGAAGGGGGCGCGGGGGAGGGGGTGTAGGAGCGGAAGGGGGAGGGTGGGGGGAGGGGGCTCTAATAAGCAAAAAGCAGTTCACTCCTTTGTTAAGCAGTCAACAAATCCATGTTACCGCTCCTCTTGAGGGTGCAAAAAGGTTAATCAGACACTTACTCTCAACAGCGTCAGTGGAAAGCACAT